AATATAGAATATTTAAAAAAATGGTCTCAAGTTGCCAAGTTCATGTTGTTTATACGAATCAGCTAGAGCATTCGATACTGTAAATCATACATTTCTACTAAAAGTACTAGAAACTACCGGTTGTAAGTAATCCTCTGCTCTCTTGGTTTGGCTCTTTTTAACGAACAAGCAACAGTTGGTTGAATAATTTGGCGTCAAGTCAAACATTTTTTCGTCGAGGTCCGGAGTACCCCGAGCCCCGAGGTGGACATATTTTATAACCGATTTTATTTTCACAAATTGTCAATAGTGTACTATATCGCTTTGCCTTTCTGTAAATTACTATGTTTTATCGATGACATGAAGCGTTTAATTGAAATAAGCTCAACTGTTGATTTTGCAAATCTTTAAAATAGCCTTGATTGTTTTGCTAATATAAGTTTAAAATAGAACTTAAAGTCAATATTTCYAAATGTCGGGTCATGACGTTCAGTCGTTCTCGAACTTCGACTCTTTTTTAACTACTTCACCTCAGGTACGAAAATTGTAGGTGCGTGTTGATGATCTAATTGATCTCGATTTTAAACTATCTAATACCCTAAGTCCAAGTTTTGATATTGCAATGATTTCTAGTAGGTACAGCGTTTAAAGTTTTAGCTTTCATAATTCTGCATCTATTCAAATACTTAAAATTAACTAGGTAAATTTAGAATACGAATCTATAATCTAGCTGGGATCCCTACATTGTTTCTGATTCTGATCAACTTAACGAGTTCAACAAAACAATTTGARATTTACTTTTTTTGTGTTAGGCGTTCCCCGTTCAGCTTATAATAATTATACCAATATCACTAATAAGAATATTCGTGGTATAATAACTAACCAAATTGATTCCCTATATGTTTATTGCTATTCCAAATTAATTTTAATGTCAATTCGCGCATGCATTTCATTTTCATCAAACTTTTCTTATTCCTATAGCGCTAACAATTATTTACTAAATGAGCCTCTAATATACGTATTATCATTGAATAATTATAATAATTATCACTCAATGGTATTATGTAGGCATGTAGCCAATGAGGACTTCTCATTTGATGATAATTTGTTTTAAGGTACCTACAGTATAGTAAATCTGTTAATAAACTGTAATGTAACTGAGTTAAATATAATAAATTAATAATACTGTTTTAATATTGATTATATTACTTGATTATTGTATTAAGTACATATAATATTTATACATTTTTTTAATGTCTAACTACTATACTAATTATTGAGCTACTGTTAAATAAATAAAACAAAAATATTCTAATCGAACATGTCGCGCCCTCAATTTCCGACCTGTATACAATTTATTTATTTAGAAAAATTTAACATTGGCTTCAAGTACCTATACGAATATACGATTTAATACAATTGACAAATTACAAGAACGGAACATTACATATGATAACAATAAACAAAGTAGAAACAAATACTTAAATTAAAAATATTATAAAGCTTTTTACATCGCTAGTACTCTTTCAATGGGCTCTAATGGTGAAAATAACTGTAGTAAATTATCACTATTCACTTTTTTTCCCTAGTTTGTTCACAAASGCGGATTACTTAATTTGATAAAYCCACCTTTGCTACGAGTTTTATGCATGGTACACGCATTATAGATATCTTTGATCATGGCATGAACCCATAGACATTATACTACTATTATGGAATTATACCATTGATAATATAAGTAGGTTCTTAAAAAAATACTGTAATACCACAGATTATAAAATATA